AGTTTAAAAGAATAAAATGCAAGAGAGAAAAAAGAGGGTGGAAACAACTAAATAGAACTTGCATTTAAAAAGCTGCTAAACTGAAGCTTCCACTACTGAACAAACTGCACAGATTAATTAATCTTTTGATTGGATTCAAGTTATTCACATTGAAGTGAAATTTCCAGTCCATGCACTCACATTTCTGGGAATCCAGCATGGCAAGAGTGACCAAAATGATCAGGCTGTTATTTATTTATATCCATCTATAAAACAAATATTAAATGTAACTGTTTTATCTATTTTTCTATACCACTTTCTTAGATAATGATTAGTGATATCACCATCATATCCTAATGCAGAGTTTCTTCCTATATAGTATGATTTCCACATACCCATGTGTCTAGATGCCTTGTATATATAAAAGCACAGGAGGTAGATGGGAGAATGGATGAAACAGGTAAAGGAGATTAAGAGCACACTTATCATGATGGGCCTTGAGTAATCTGTAGAATTCTCAAATTGCTGTATTGTGTGCCTGAAACTCACACGACACCCTAGGTTGATTATACCGGAATTAAAGGGGGGGAGGGAGGTAGAGTCAAGAAATATGCTCTAGTCTTAGATATTAAATCACTTCTCTCAAAGTAATTATAGACATCAACTATTGTCATATGTTTGCTGTGATTCATAGATGTATTGCCTTTGAGGTTTACTAGCTTATTTTTAAAATTTTTACTAAAATCTAACTTTATATACAGAGGACATTAACAATATCCTTCCTTTGCCTCTCTGTGACAAGGCATATTCACTTGTAGAATAAAATGTAAACTATTTATACACTATTAACAATCCTACTTTTACTCAAAGGATAATTTTTTATATTTTGATTTTTGTAATGCTATAAGGATTTCACATTTCAAGGTTATATTAATTTTTTCTGCATGAATCTGTCTTTTCCTATATTTTATAATTTTTTCTGTTAGCATATTACATACAAATTCCACTTATCTCTTACAGAGGAACCAGTTACCCATATTATCCAGTTATGGCAGTAAAAGTAAATACCATATAATAGATATTTAGAAATACTAAATTGTTCCATAAAATATGTCACTTACTGCCTGATTCTGGTGGGTAAGCAGCTGATAAGGAGCAGTTTAAAAAAATAACATTCTGGTGAGTTTTCAGAACTACTGTGTTCTAATAACAAGAAACAAGCCAGGGCTGATAAACATTTCAGTATCTACTTTGAGGCCAGGCATAGCACATTATAGGAACAATTACTTCATATATACACACCCACATATTATTTTGGTGACAGCCTGGAGAATTTATCACACGAAAATTCAGCTAATACAAAAGCACTATATTTAGATAGGAGATATCTAAAATATATCATTTACCTTATTAAAACATAGGTTTAGTGCACAGATACCTTTGCACTAAAATTAAAACAGCACAGCCTTTACCTAGGCATCTAGGAAATGTGATTAGCCCTGCAGCAAAGATAAGGGGTTTACAATGCTGTTTCTCTTCCTAATGGAATGAAGACAGACATACTAACTGGAAATCATTTTTCTATTTTCTCTCACCATCTATTTTGCCTCCTTTTTCTTTCTTTCTCTTTCTTTCTTTCTTTCTTTCTTTCTTTCTTTCTTTCTTTCTTCTTTCTTTCTCTTTCTTTCTTTCTTTCTTTCCTTCATTTCTTTCTTTCTTTCTTTCTTTCTTTCTTTCTTTCTTTCTTTCTTTCTTTCTTTCTCTTTCTTTCTTTCTTTCTTCCTTCTTTCTTTCTTTCTTTCTTTCTTCTTTCTTTCTTTCTTTCTTTCTTTCTTCTCTTTCTTTTCTCTCCCAACACTCTTCTTCCAAAAATGCCTCACATATCCCAAGGCTATAAATGGCTCACTTTTTCTAGAAAAGTTATTAGAGATCACCATACTTGGGCAAGAAAAACTCAAGAGTAGGAGTAGGGTGGACTCTTACATAAGACTATAAGATGTGTGATATGAAAGAACAAAATAACAGAACAACTCAAAGAGATCTGGATAAACTCCTTAAGGATGCAGTAAAATGTAACATAAGGTTGAAAAATTATTGTTATCTATGAACATTATATAGAGAATAATACACTGTTTTTCAGGACAGTGTGGTCTTGATTTAGCAGAAATAATATGCAACCTTCAGGGCAAATAACCAAGCTAAAAATGACAACGGAATGCCCGGAAACAAAGTAAATCAAAACCAAGAAATCCAAAGCTTGCAAAATTATCTAGTATGCAATGTGTCTGTCCTAAGGACACTGAAACCTAGCTTTGAATAATGTCATGATTTCTACATCTCTCTTTTGAACTTACACATACTAAGCTACTCCTCCAGTCATTATTTTTAAAATCACTTGTTTATTTTATGTTCATTGATAAAAAAGAAATTGAAAGAAAAGTGTAAAAAAATGTTGCTCTGAAAAACATCTAAAACAACTATTACTGTTAGTATTTTGGCATATTTTACATTTTCTTTTTAGTTTTACTGATTTTTGAAGAAGTTCTTGCTGCATTTATAACTTGAGTCTTCTATTTTATCCATGTATAATTTACTTTTATATTAAATGGTTTCATTTCACCGTATTACTGTATTGTTTAAACCATACTTATTAAATAAGCATCTTTAAATATTAGTTGGCTTGATAAATGGTCATTACCTTTTCATGACAACTAGAAGAGTATATTAAAGTCCTGAACATCACCAGGTTATATTGGGCTATTGATCAGTAGTAAATGCTAGGGTGTGCTGCTTATTTTCCATAACTTCAGATTAAAGCCCTCATTTCCTCAGTTGCTACAAGTGTCACTGCTGCCAGTTTGCAGCTGAATCTCTCCCCTAGAACTCCCTCCAGCCCAAGGGAGCTGCTTCATACTGGCTTGAAAGCCTTTCCCAGTTCCTGATCTATATATGGACACTAAGCCCCAACCCTTCTGTCTCAATTCCCAACTTCCAGGGCCCCCCCACCTGCAGCACTCCCCATGGCATTGCAGTATGTGTACTGGATCCTGTTTCCTTCATTCCCTCCCTCACAGGATGTTTTATTTCATTTCGGCTATTATAACAAAATACCATAGATTGCGGGACTTATGAACAACAGGCTTATTTCCCACAGTTCTGAAGGCTGGGAAGTCCAAGATCAAGGCACTGGCAGATGTGGTGTCAGATAAGGACCCTCTTCTTTCCATAATCTCACTTGGCAGAAGGAGTGAGGGAACTCTCTGGAATTTCTTTTATAAGCATACTAATATCCCAAGCATGCATGTTCCACCCTCATAAAATAATCACCTCCAAAAATCCCACTTCCGAATATTATCACCGTCAGGGATAATATTTCAGTGTATGATTTTGGGGGTCACCACATTCACCCTGCAGTATGGATTTTGATATTGAGAGACCCCCCCACACACACACAATAAACTTACTGTTAACAAATCTCCATTTCAGAGTCTATGCCAAGGGAACTGGGTTAAAGACAGTTTATTGCAATTTTTACAAAGACCAAACAATATGTTGGAAATGGTATCTATATTGTTATTCACTTGGAATCTGTAAATCATTCATTCATTTATGCCCTGTGATTCAATTAATGATTGCCTATCTTATATGATAATTTCCCTGAATTGCGACATACATTTATTATTATTTAGGAACATTAGACAGCACATATTCCTTTTATGTGTATTCATGATGGTGTTCATAACCTGAATCTTGGTTTTTACCTATTTAATATTTTTTGTTGTTTGACAATATGACACATACTATTTCCTATCTGTTATACAATCACTTTACAATCATGATAAAAAGCACTGTATATCTTCTCTATTCTATAAAGTTTTGTAATTGTATGTTAATTTATAATACTTAAAAGATTCAAAAGTGGATGAATCCTCTTTTAAAACAAATATATTGCAAAATATAAAAAAAAATCTTAAGGATGTTAAGATGCAGAAGATCTGATCTGTTCTTTCTCTTTGAGAGAAAGTGTCTAAAGAAATTAGCAGAACAAGCAGGATGTGCCTGGCAACATCAGTAACCTAATCATGCAGACAATCATAACCTGATATGACCCAGGGGGATAACACAAGAGTTACAATACTATGTATCTTCATTATAATTTTGACACATGAGGTGAAATGAAAGAATTAAAAAGAAACCCAGTTGTTTGAGAAGCATAACTTTGTTCTGACCATGAAAGAAATATAATCCACAGAGGAAATTCATATTGAATTAACATGTTGAGTAAGTCAAATCTGATACCTTATGCCATTATGACAAAGGGTAGTAAATGGTCACTAGAAAAGCGTTAAAACACAGTATTTTGTTATCTGACGCTTCTGATCCTCAGAAGTAATGATTATGTGAAAACGCATTTGATAGCAAATATTCATAATTAACATTGTAGTGTAATTAGGCACCCCTAGACTTTAAATTCCATTATCCCAATGATCAACAGATTTTTGTGTGATTTCTTGCTTAAAAGTAGGTCAAAAAATGTCTTAGAGGCCACCCTTTAGGCCAACGTCTATAATAAATGTTTCTAACTACATTCTTAAATCTTGCCAGTCACCTAAGAAAATGTATTATACTGCTTGCAAGTAGGGCTGGCCAAGTGAGTAAAAATAGCTTAAGCACTTAGCAGTCAAAATGTACCACTCAAAATCCACATCTTACAGAATCTGTGCCACAAATGATGTTCTTAGAAAAAGCTCAGCCCAGGATATCAGACCTCAATTGTAACAATATTCACTATCCCAAAATCAATAGCATAGGAAAACAAAGAAAGAAAAAGAAAGTAGAGATAAATGTTGCATTGGTCTCTAAAACAGGGCTCTTTGAGTATTATTCAATGGATACACAGAAAAAAATAAATATCCCTTAGGAGTTGATCCTAAATCAGTTATTATCTGAATTGATTTTTCTCATGGCATAATGATTTTGAAACATTGAGATGCAGAAAATATTTCTTTTTTAAAATTCTTTTTAACATGGAACACTTCACAAATTTGTATGTCATCCTTGCATAGGAGCCATGCTAATCTCTGTATCATTCCAATTTTAGTATTTGTACTGCCAAAGTGAGCATAAGATTCTCTTTGTAATACAAATCTTGTTTTTCCTATATACTGTTGCAGAAATATTAAACACTTGTAGAAAATTTTTGACATATATTTAATGCTCCTAAGTAATTTTTATTTTGATCATGTTAGTAGAAGAAAAACTTGACCACCAAATGAGTAGAGCTTTAAATATCAGACTAGACATTTATTCCCTAAGTAAAATCTTTATGGTAACTTTCAGTTTGATATATTATTTTAAAGACTGAAGACTGGTATATAGAAATATAAGACATATACACTTGATATACAGTAAGCTAAGAGATGTTAGCAGAAAAACTAATTAATATAAGTCACTAATACACATATTAGTTATTAGATAGTTTATGAGTAGACAACATCATCTATTTTATGAGTAGGTTTAAAAGTATACTCATTAGGTTTTCAAAAATATGGTTAGTAGGAATTGTACAGGATGTTTACTGAACAGAGCACATACAAAAATTCAAGTTATATTACTAAATGTATTACTGTATTAATGTTAAGCATCTTGAAATTAAGATGTTGCCCAATATTCTGAAATAATAAAACATAAGAAAGTAAAAGTTATTATTCAACTGATAATAGTGATAAATTTTAGAATATAAAATTTATTAATGCTTTGGTGTCCTCATAAATAAAATGTATATTTGATACACTTTGTTCTACAAATATTTCCTAATGGACACAGAGATACCAAGCCTTTACTTTGCAAGAATTCTTCACAACAATTTCTAAAATGAGACATCCCAACTCATTTTTGAGCCAGTGAATGACAGGTTATATTTGGCTTAAAAAAAAGTGTATGGAAGTGGGGGAAGCTGATATCAAAAAAAGACAGCTTACTTGGAGCACTTGTATTATTTTAAATACTATTTAGTATGAGTAAACAATTCCTGTTTCCTAATACTATACATATTTTCCACAAGCCAAAAAATAACATCTGTATCATAATTGATAAAATATACGTGGTTTTCTCATATATCTAATTCAATTCCCCACAAAAACCTCTTAATTGTACCAATAAATCTTCTCCTAAGTCAGTTCATTTCTCCAATTGTACCACCACAAATATATATCAAGTGGCCTAATTCAAGTCTCATCTGTACTACTGAATGACTTCATAAATGACCTCTACAGATTTACTTTTTCCTATTCAACTCTATCAAAAAAATTAAAATCTATTTTAAAAAATCAGCACTCTTAGAGTAAAAACTACTATTCTTTATATCATCAATAAGATCTACATTCTGTCCTGTTCATTTTTTTGTCACAGGAACATTTTACATGCCATTTTGGTGTAGGATTTCATCTGTTGTTTCATTACTCATTTCCAGGAGCTTGAAAGAGTATCAAGCATATGCCAAAACTCAAAAAATGTTTTTGGAAAGAACAAAGATTAGGTGAACTTAGAACACAAATCAATGAAATTGAACATAGGAAATCAATAGAGACAAATAAATAAAACCAAAAGCTAATTATTTGAAAAGATCAGTAAAATCTGTAAGCCTCTAGCCAGGGTAACTCAGAAAAAAACAGATAGTATACAAATTACTAATAACAGTAATGAAATAAGAGACCTCACTGCAGATCCCATAGACATTAAAAGTCTAATAAAGAAATACTATGAACAACTCTATACCCATAAATTTAATAACTTAGATGAAATAGACCAATTTCTTGAAAGATACAATTAGCCAAAATTCACACAAGAAGAAGCAGACAATCTGAATAGCCCTGAACAAATCTCTTTTACAAGCTCTTTCTAAACTATTAAATGAACTGAATGAATAGTAAGTAAATGTCTAAAGTAGAAAGTACCAGGCCCAGATGAGTTCACTGGTGAATCTGACCAGACATTTAAGTAAGAAATTATACCAATTCTCTACAATTTCTTCCAGAAATATAGAAGGAAAAGGAATATTGCCTAACTCATTTTTTGAGGCTGGAATTACTGAGACACCAAAACTAGACAAAGATATTACAATAAAACTACAGATCAGTATCTCTCATGTACCAAGACACAAGTTTCTCAACAAAATATTATCAAATTAAATCCAACAATGTGTAAAGAATTCTATACAATGACTAAGTGGGATTTAAGTGAATCTAGACACAGATGTTGTACTCTTCACAAAAACTAACTCAGAGTGGATCACAGACCTAAATATAACATGTGTAAGTATAAAGCTGTTGGAGGATAACACGGGAGAAAATCTAGATGACTTCAGGTATGGTATGCCTTTTTAGATACAACACAAAAGGTATGAGCCAGAAAAATAACTGATACGCTGGACTTCATTAAAATTAAAAATTCTTCTGTAAAAAAACAATAGAAAATGAAAAGTCACAGACTAGAATATTTGAAAAAGATATCTGATAAAGCACTGTAATCCAAAATATACAAAGAAGTCTTAAAACTTATCCAAGAGAAAACAACCCAATCATGTTCACTGTAGCATTATTCACAATAGCCAGGACATAAAAAATTTAACTGTCTACTGATGGATGAATAATAGATAAAGAAACCATAATTATACACACACATATACAAGCACTGAGATATTATTCAGCCTTAAAAATGAAAATGATCTTGTCATTAACAATAACATGGATGAACCTGGAGAATATTTTTCTAAGTGAAATAAGGCATATACATTAAGAAAAATGCCACATGGGAGGGGCAAGATGGCGGAAGAGCAGGGTCCCCAAGTCACCTGTCCCCACCTAATTACCTAGATAACCTTCAAATCATCCTGAAAATCTACGAATTCGGCCTGAGATGTAAAGAGAGACCAGCTGGAACGCTACAGTGAGAAGAGTCCGCGCTTCTATCAAGGTAGGAAGACGGGGAAAAAGAAATAAAGGAACAAAAGGCCTCCGAGGGGGAGGGGCCCCGCGAGGAGCCGGGCTGAGGCCGGGGCGAGTGTCCCCAGGACAGGAGAGCCCCGTCCCGGAGGAGCAGGAGCTGCACCAACCTTCCCGGGCGGGCGGAAAGGGGCTCGCAGGGAGTTGGAGCAGGACCCAGGAGGGCGGGGATGCCCTCGGGCTCCCGGGGACACTAACAGACACCTGCGCCCCGGGAGAGTGCGCCGAGCTCCCTAAGGGCTGCAGCGCGCACGGCGGGGCCGGAGCAGCTCGGAGGGGCTCGGGCGGCGGCTCCGCGGAGGGGGCTGCGGGGCGGGAGCGCGAATCCACCAGCGCAGGCCCCGGAGCACAGGGCGCCGGGACACAGCCCAGGATCCGGCCTCCCCCGGGACAGGCAGAGGCCGGGAGGGCCCAGGACAGCGAGGACGCTCCTGCCCCGAGCTGAGCAGATCAGCGGCCCCGCCCCGGAGCCTCCAGGCCCTGCGGACGGAGAACCGAGAGCCCCGAGCCCCGTAGTTCCTGCGGAGGCTGAATCCAGGCTTCCAGAGTTGCCATAGCAACTGCAACTGTTCCTCCTGAGACCTCACGGGGTAAACAACCCCCGCTGAGCCCTGCAGCAGGCAGGGGCAGAGCAGCTCCCCCAAGTGCTAACACCTGAAAATCAGCACAGCAGGCCCCTCCCCCAGAAGACCAGCTGGACGGACCAGTGATACTCCCCCGTGTTCCAATACAACTTGTTTTTGGCCACTCTGCACTGAGCAAAATGACTAGAAGGAAAACTTCACCTCAAAAGAAAGAATCAGAAACAGCCCTCTCTCCCACAGAGTTACAAAATCTGGATTACACTTCAATGTCAGAAAGCCAATTCAGAAGCACCATTATACAGCTACTTGTGGCTCTAGAAAAAAGCATTAAGGCCTCACGAGACTTCATGACTGCAGAATTTAGATCCAATCAGGCAGAAATTAAAAATCAATTGAATGAGATGCAATCCAAACTAGAAGTCCTAACGAGGAGGGTTAACAAGGTGGAAGAACGAGTGAGTGACATAGAAGACAAGTTAATGGCAAAGAGGGAAACTGAGGAAAAAAGAGATAAACAATTAAAGAACCATGAAGACAGATTAAGGGAAATAAATGACAGTCTAAGGAAGAAAAACCTACGTTTAATTGGGGTTCCCGAGGGCGCCAAAAGGGACAGAGGGCCAGAATATGTATTTGAACAAATCCTAGCTGAAAACTTTCCCAATCTGGGAAGGGAAACAGGCATTCAGATCCAGGAAATAGAGAGATCCCCCCCTAAAATCAATAAAAACCGTTCAACACCTCGACATCTAATAGTGAAGCTTGCAAATTCCAAAGATAAAGAGAAGATCCTTAAAGCAGCAAGAGACAAGAAGTCCCTGACTTTCATGGGGAGGAATATTAGGGTAACAGCGGACCTCTCCACAGAGACCTGGCAGGCCAGAAAGGGCTGGCAGGATATATTCAGGGTCCTAAATGAGAAGAACATGCAACCAAGAATACTTTATCCAGCAAGGCTCTCATTCAAAATGGAAGGAGAGATAAAGAGCTTCCAAGACAGGCAGGAACTGAAAGAATATGTGACCACCAAACCAGCTCTGCAAGAAATTTTAAGGGGGACTCTTAAAATTCCCCTTTAAGAAGAAGTTCAGTGGAACAATCCACAAAAACAAGGACTAAATAGATATCATGATGACAGTAAACTCATATCTGTCAATAGTAACTCTGAACGTGAATGGGCTTAATGACCCCATCAAAAGGCGCAGGGTTTCAGATTGGATAAAAAAGCAGGACCCATATATTTGCTGTCTACAAGAGACTCATTTTAGGCAGAAGGACACCTACAACCTGAAAATAAAAGGTTGGAGAACCATTTACCATTCAAATGGTTCTCAAAATATATCCTAAAAACTATAGAACACTTCTGAAAGAAATTGAGGAAGACACAAAGAGATGGAAAAATATTCCATGCTCATGGATTGGCAGAATTAATATTGTGAAAATGTCAATGTTACCCAGGGCAATTTACACGTTTAATGCAATCCCTATCAAAATACCATGGACTTTCTTCAGAGACTTAGAACAAGTTATTTTAAGAT